AAAAAAAAAGCTGTACTGCACTCCTAATCTAAGATGTCATAGGTGTTTAAGAAGATGGGCAACTAAAACTTTTACTGTCAGTAGAGCTTAAATTTCCTGACAGTTAAAAAGTAGTAAAACGCTTAAATGCAGGAAAACATTAAATGCAGAAAGAGATTTAAATCATCTCTGTAACTAACTTGAGAGAAGCAAAGTTCCAAAACATTGAGCATCATAATAATACAAGAGCTTTGGAGGGCATTCTCCAAAACAAAAACAAAAAACAAAGGACTGCTTTTATACTAACGTCTTTGAAAAGACACATTAAGGTCAAACTTGTGTCCAGCAGAACAGTGGGTGCTATTCAGATAGTCCTATCGGGTAACAAGAGAACCAAAGACGTCTTTGGTGAGGGCCAGTCATATCAGAGGGAAAAGCAACAAACAGTAATAACAGTGACAGGTACTGCACTCTTAACACGTGCAAGACCCAGTCCTGAGCACTGACACACGCTAACGTATTGACTCCTTAACGGCAATGAGGCGGGTACGACTAACATCCCCACTTGCAGACAAGCGTAAAGTCGTTAAACAAACTGTCCAAAGACAACGTGCAGTGAATGAGACGCAGGAACCAGGCTGCCCAGCTCGGCTCCGGGACCCCCTGCAAACCAACACCTTCCTGGGAAATACACAAGCTGCAGCGGAGCTGCTGGGCACTGGCCTGGAATACAAGAATGGTTTCAATTCCTCGATGAGGACTTCGGAAAAGACCAAATCTGGGCCTTAAAGGGTCACTGCTTGTCAAAGGCTGCTCCAAAAATAGCACCAAAAAGGGATTAATACTTTCAAAGTAAGTGACTCTCAATCATCGGCACCCCCAGAGGAAAGGAGGCAAGACAAGAAGTGCTCGGTCCTCGTATACAATGTGCATGGCTGCAGAAAGCATACAATGGTTACGTGTAAACTAGAAGCCCGGTGCACAAAATTCATGCAAGGGGCTTGGCCCTTGCAGCCCCAGCTGCCTTGTGGCCCTGCCCACTGGTCGTTCTGGAAGGTCATTCCAGAAGGTCATTCTGGGAGGTCATTCCACCGTCTGGTCTAATTAGCATAGTAGCTCTTTATTACATAGGATTAGGTAGGAAATTGTTGTATAGGTGCCCAGAGCAGTCACATGCTCCTGTGAGGTCTGCCCCACTGCCCGGTTCAGTCCTGTATCTCTCGAACTATTTCCACTCCTTCAAGGGTAAGCTGACCAGGGAATGAGAAGACACACCCAAAAGCCTACCAGACACGGGCCAGCCACCTGTTTTAAACACACCCTGGACAAGCCAACTGCGAGACCCACTTGCCAAACTGAATAACCTCAACTTCCTCTACCCACGTTCTCAGCCCGTGGTGATGACT